AGGCAGCCCCATGCTCGGCGGGAAAGCGGCGCCGCTGCCGGGCCCGCGCGTGGGAGACTTGTGCCCGCCCAGATACCGAGCGCAGACTGAGGCCCGCAGAGAGGTGTGGTGCGCGGCCGGAGCGGACGCCAGTGGAGCGCGCCACGCCCGCAGCCCGGCTTTAAGGAGGCAGCGCTCCCGCTCCGCCCCGTCCCGCCCCGCGGAGCCAGTCCGCCTGTGGGTCCCACCTCCGCCTTTGTTCCTGCGCGGGGTTGGGGCGGAAGGGGTCACGGCGGAGGCCCCGAGTTCCTGCTCCAGGCCTTCGAGTCCCATCTGCTGCGATCCCGGGGCGCCCTCCTCCCAGAGCACCTGCAGGGGTGTGTGTGGGCGCCATCGAAGCCCTCGCTGCCCTGACCCTCCGGCAGGAGGCGAGCGGGTGGTGCCAGGCCCTTGTCCCTTCTTGTCCAACGCCGCCCTTCTTCCCTCATTCGGGATCAGCGCCTCCTCTGAGCCCCGCCCTGGGCTTGGGCAGGTTACCCAGCGGCGGCAGGACCCCCAAGTCCCGGGCCTCAGGGAGCTACCACTCGGGTTTCTACTATGGGGAGGGACTCGGCCCACCAGTTGTTCTGCGGGGCTGTAAGGGGAGACTGAGACCCGGAAAGAGACCTCAACTTGCTCCGGCTCTAACGACTGGAAACTGGCCAGGCAGAACTAGGGCCCCGGTGGCTCCATAGAATTCTCCGGCCCTCACCGAGTTAGGGACCACCTGGTTCCCCTGTCCTCGGTTTTGAACGGGGAAACTGAGGCCCAGAGAAAACGAGGCAACCCAGGAGCGCCCGGAACTCATTTTCATTTCACTGGCTCCAGCTCCGGGCTCCCACCTACAGGACCGGCGGAGCTCACGTGACGGGCGGGGCGGGACAGTCCTGGGCGCCAGCTCTTTGCTGCCCATCTCCTCCGTCCGGGCCCTCCTCCTCGCCGCGTAGCTGGTGCTGCCGCAAACTGGCTGGGCGTCCCCCGCCCATCTGCTCGGAACTGCCCTCCGTCAACCGGCTGGCGGACTGCCGGGCCGACCCGCGGGCGGATGGCGGACTGGACCCACCTAGCCAGGCCGGGAGGAGGAACCACAGGGCGGAGCCTACCGGCGCTGTCCTGGGTGCTGGACGGGGCCCCTCCCCTCCGCCGCGCAAACCCCATCTCCGCGCGCCACCTTCGACGCTCTGCATAAGTCCCCTCGGCCGCGTGCTCCCCAAGCAGGGGTTGAGAAGACCAGCGCGCCCATCAGGAAGGAGCCCGGAGCATCCGGGCGAGTGGGAGCTCACGCCACCCGTACCTGACTGGCCATCACTTATGGAGCACATGCTGTATGTCAAGCGCCTTTCGGCCCTCCTTTCCATTATCCCCCTAACAGTCCTAACTATGAGAATAAGTCAACACATCTAGCGGAGCAGAGCCTGGGCATGCCTGAGCCACTGTCTCCTCAAATTGAATCGTTGAGCTCAGGGTACCTATGGGCCGGCCTCCTCCAAGGTTATTAAATGTCCTCTCTCTCTCTCTCTCTCTCTCTCTCTCTCTCTCGGCCACACGTCCTGGCTTGCGATCTTAGTTCCCCGACTAGGGACTGAGCCCGTGTACTTGGCAGTGAAAGCGCGGAGTCCTAACCACTGGACCACCATAGAATTACCTCATTAATTATTCTTTAGGGGCTCAAGAAAAGGACTTCATGGATCCTTAACTGATGCCCCACATGCCACCCCTGGCCACACACACTGGCTCACTCAGCTCTGTGCCGACAGGCCCCCCTGCACCAATATCTGCATCCTTGCTGAGATGCCCTGAAACTAGCTCCTGGGGAGGAAGGTTCTTTCTAGAACATCCCCCTCCATGCCTGTGGACCACGGTTTGAAGCCTGGAGGGTGGGGAAGCAGACTCCATTTTCAGTTACCCCAGATTTTAAGTCTCTCCTGTCTTCTCCTATTGCTGTTCCCTTCAACCAAAGGATTCTGGGGGTTTTGCTGGTTACCTGGAGGAAGAAGTCATTTATAACCAGGGGAACTTAGGTAAGACAACCAAGTGGACAGGGTATGGGGGTGCAGGTTTTAGGGAAGCTGGAACCACTTAGGGTACAGTGGGGACACACTCCACCTGGGTGCCTGCTCTTGGGTGGGGGGAGAGGTCTGAACAGGTGTTTTCCACACAACAGGTGGGCAGATGGCCTGATCCCAGCAGAAGAATGAGAGGAAGCCTCCTGGTGGGGGAGGGAGCCCCTCAACTGACATCTGGAGTGTGGGAGACATTGTGGGTGCTCTGGGAAAGGGGAACTTCAGGTGCAGAGGGAAGAAGGGCACAGCAGGGTCAGCCTCTGTGAGTGTCAGCCCCTGAGCTTTGCCCCTTTCTATTTGTGCCACTGTGGACAAGATACGTTAAAAAACCAAACCAAACAAACAATGTAAAAGAATGAAATTAGAACATTCTCTAACACCATACACAAAGATAAGCTCAAAATGGATTAAAGCCCTAAATGTAAGACTGGATACTATAAAACTCTTAGAGGAAAGCATCAGCAGAACACCCTCTGACATAAAGCACAGCAAGATTTTTTTGATGCACCTCCTAGAGTAATGAAAATAAAAACAAAAAATAAACAAATGGGATCTGATTAAACTTAAAAGCTTTTGCACAGCAAAGGAAACCATAAACAAAACCAAACAAACAAATTTAAAAAAAAACTCCCTGTGCCTCAGTTTCCCCAGCTGTAAAATGGGTACAGTGTTGTACCTCTCTCATAGCATCCCTATGGGGTTAAATATGCAGGTGAAACCTGGCATGGTGCCTGGTAAGCAGTAGGGCTTCCAAAAATATGTTCTTGCTGGCGTGGGTTCGCTAGAGATGCTGAGCAGGACCCCGTGGACCCAGTGCAGCCCAGAAAGGACAGAGAAGGCCTGGATCTCAGCCTGACTTTGGCATCCTCAGAAAGGAGTCTGACAAGATGGTCAGCAAGGATGAGTGCTCACGCGTGACTTTTATGGAGATGTCTCTGTCAGCAGCGGGAGCGGCTCAGGTTGTCTCTCCTGCCTTGCCCAGTGCCATAGCAGCAGCACGTCACCCTCATCTGGACCCCAAAATGACAAAACCATGTGACAGTTGAGGGTGTCCAGGACCAGGGGAGCCAACATGGGAGTGCAGGGATTTTTTTTTTTTTTTCATGGAGGAAGCACAAGGGAGGGGCCCTCAAGATAAGCCATTTAGCTCTTTGTCATCAAAGCACCCCTGCCACTCGCAGGCCTCAGGGTACAGCTGCGCTCGGTGGGCTAGAGGAGGGCGGCTGTGGCAGGCACCAAGAGCCAGTCGAAGCACTGAGGCTGACAGGATAAGACGCCTCCCTCCCCTTGTCGCCTTGGGTAGGGGTCCCAGACCCCAGCCGTCAGAGGTCCCATGGGAGAGTGAGGCAGGTCTGGCGTGGTGAAAGTGGCTGGAAACCCACCTGGCCACTCAGGCCCAGAGGCTCCAGTTTAGGCGGGTGCCATGGAGCACTGGAGCCCATTGCACGTGGCGCCACCTGGTGTTGGTCCCAGGGACTTGGATTCCCACTGTTCCCGGAAGCCTCTTCCCTCTAAGGCATTTCCAGCACCATCCTGTGCCTGTCCCGCTACCCGCTGGGTGAAATAGCCCAGTGCACAGCCCTCACGGGGCTTCAGTGGGGAGGTGGGGGGTGACGGGGAGGGCGGGGAGGAAGGGCACAGGATGTTTCAAAGTTGCCGATGTGCTGACTGTGCTCCCACAGCTACACAGCTCCTATCTTCTAGCAGTTCTTCCTCCTGTCCAGCCTGCTGTGCCTCCCTCCAGCTCCCACGAAGGGCTTCCGGCCAAGCAGGCAGGGTGGTTTGGCGCACGTGTGCTCTTCTGGCCCGCTGCCCTCCCAGGGCCATCCTGTCCCCTTGGGGAGGGGTCCTGGCCCTGCTCTCCGGGCAGCTGCTCTGGCGCACCTCCCCATTGCCCCCCAGCCCTTGCTTTCCCGTCTCTCTCCATTCGGCAGCCCCGGGCCCTCGAGCTCACGATTGACTCCCCCACCTCAGACAGACAGCCAGCGGCAGCTCTGGGTGCTCTCTGAGGCCAGGATCTCTAGATCCGGAAACCGGAGCCCACCAGGCATTACTGTCCTTTTCCCCTTCTCTCCCTCCCTGCCTCGGGGAGGCTATGTGGGCAGTTCTTGGGGGTCTGGAGGGACCGAGGAGGGCTGAGCGCCCAGCACCCATGGCCACCTGCCAGGGCATAGACCCAGAGCCCCAGAGCCCCTGAGGGACTTGTTAGGCCTGTTCCTAGCGCACGGCCTTTGCCCTTGAAGTCTCGCACGCCTGGAATGCGCCTACGTACGCACCTTTGAATAAAGCCCAGCCCACCGCACCTCCCCTTTCCCCGACTGCCCACGTAGCCCCTATAACTTACTAAGTCCCCGTTTTCCTGCTCTGATCACACTTGTCACTCTCTGGAACTGCGGTCATCGTTTGCTGGCTCGTGTCCCCCAGCGCCTAGGAACTGGCACTGAGTGGATGAATCAGTTCGTCTGGGGGCTCTGCCCGCCAGCGCATGGACGGCTCTGATCACCGGGGTCTGCTTTTTTTTTTTTTTAATATTTTGGCTGCACGGCGCGGCCTGTGGGATCTTATTTCTCCGAGTAGGGATCGAACCCGCGCCCCACGCATTGGGAGCGCCGATTCTTGACCACTGTACGAGCAAGGGAAGTCCCGGGGTCTGCTTTTCGACCGGAGGTAAATATGGAGAGAAGTCCCTGGGCGCACCGCCTCTGTCACCGGAGTCCGGCCCTCGGCGCTGCTGCGGCTGGCGGGCGGGCGGGGGACTCGGACCGCGGCGGGCGGGGCCGGGCGGAGGCGGCGCGGGGGGCGGGCCCGAGGCTTAGGCTGGGCGCCGCGGGGGCGCCCAGCCCCAGAGCGCGGCGGAGGCGGAGCGGAGCGGGCGAGGCAGCGCGGGGCCGAGGCCGGGCCGGCAGCCGCTCCGCCTCCCCACTCGCAGGCCCCGACGGTCGCGCCGCGGGCTCTCCCGGTGCCCGAGGACAGACGCATGGCGCCCCGGGAGCCGCGCTGAGCCCCGGGTCGCGGCGCCGCGGGCGGCACCATGGCCCTGGAGCGGATTCTTCAGGCGGCGCGCCAGGGCGACCTGGACGTGCTGAGGTCCCTGCACGCCGCCCGCCTGCTGGGGCCCTCGCTGCGCGACCCGCTGGACGCGTTGCCAGTGCACCACGCGGCCCGCGCCGGCAAGCTGCATTGTCTGCGCTTCCTGGTGGAGGAGGCCGGTCTGCCCGCAGCGGCCAGCGCGCGCAACGGCGCCACGCCGGCCCACGACGCCGCCGCCACCGGCCACCTCAGCTGCCTGATGTGGCTGCTCTCTCAGGGCGGCTGCAGAGTGCAGGTGAGTCCGCGCCGCGCACGGGGCACCCGGGGGGGCTTTCTCCCCAGGAGAGAGTTCTGGTCTGGAGCCCTCGGGTCTTAAGGGGGGGTGGGCTTGGGAGCTCCCTCCAGAGGGCTTGGGGCGGGGTGGGCTCCCCGGGTTGAGAGTACCCGGGCAGATGCCCTGGCAAGCCCTGGCCACTGCCTAGAAGAGCATCTGGGTGATAGGAAACCAGAATGGAATGGGGCTCAACTGGGGGGTGGGGGAAACACAGTGATCCAGGGAGTCCTGGAGAGTGAGCAGGGGAGGGGGACAAAGGGCCTGGAGTCAGAAGCCCATGTCCTCCAGGATCAGGTCTGGGAAGTGGCAGGGGGCCGGGGTGGGGTGGGGGCGGTTTGCACAAAATCCTACAGCCCACCCCAGGCTGAGGTGCGTGTGCCCCTAAGGCGAGGGGAGGGTGGAGGCTGGTAATGGGGGGGGGCCTCCCAAGGACCTGAGCTGATCCCAGGACATCGGCACCTTCTGGCCTCCCAGCTGCTTCAGCCCAGCCCGAGTCTTCCTGCCCTGAGACCCCAGTGGGTCTCAGTCAATGGCCACCAGGCTGGTGTTAGCCAACCTGGCCTCTCCTGATCTGGAGAAGGCAGCTCAGGCCCTCACGTGTAGCTCTCCTGCTGAATCCTGCTGGACGCAGAGCATCCAGCAGGTTCCAGGCCCGGGGATTCAGGTGCGCCCCTGATCTCCGGGAGCCGCCAGTCCACGGGGGCAGTGAACAGCAAGCACACAGTCTAGAAAGTAAACCAGGTAACGCCAGGTACTGCTAGGCCACGTGGTGGGGAGCGACGGGAGCTGCGTGGGCAAGGTGGCCAGGGAAGGCCCCTCCGTGGAGTGACCTCTGAAGGGAGTCTCGGCTGATGGGAGGGAAGTGGCCAGGTGATGACCAGAGAACTCCAAGCCCAAGGAGCAGGGAGTACAAAGCCCTGAGGGGGACGCATCTTGTCCTGTAGCAGGGACGGCAGGGAGGCGAGCATGTTTGCAGCGGGGTGAGGGAGGGAGAAAACCGCAGGGCCGGGTCCCAGAGGGTCTCATAGGCTGGCGTTAGGAATTTGCCCGATACTGTGGTTGTAGGGCAAAGCCAGTGGAGGGAGGAACAGAACTGATTTCCCACTTACAAGGACCACTGTGTTAACTGGATACAGAAGGAGAGGAAGCAGGGCCGACTCTGAGCTGGCTGGCTGTGTCCTGGCGGTGCCCAGACCCCATCCCCCCACCTCCTGGCCTCAGGATGGCCAGGCCTCCCATCCCACCCTTCCTGGGAGATGGCCTGGCCCCTTATCTCTGGGCTAGCTCTGTTATCAGGAGTTCCTGGCACATGGTCCCTGCCCACTCTTTTGGGAGGTGGCATGCCTTCCCGATCCCGGTGTCCGACCTTGGCCAGAAGCCTCCCCAGCACAAGGAGCAGGCGGCCTTGTGCCCGGCTTATCAAGTCTCCCACCCTCTTGCCCCAGCGGCTTGGGTGCTGGGGGCGAAGTGTGTGTGTAGGGGGAGGATGACCTAGATCCGGGGCCCTGCTCAGCTCAGGGAGATAAGCAGCTTTAGGGTACGGGCCATAGCACGTGAGGCTCCTGGGGCCTACGTAGCTGTTGGAGATTGGAGACAGGCTCCTGGGGCCTACGTAGCTGTTGGAGCTTGGAGACAGTTCAGAGGCCTGTGATTCTCTCCTTACTGCCACCCTCACCCAGAGGCCCAGAGCCATCAGGACCCCCTGGAGCCTCAGACCCACAATCCCCAAGGCCAGTGGGAAGTGAGGGCCTTTCTCAAGAGCTGGGGCACAGGGCATACTTCACTATGGGCCTGTCTGGGTCACCCCTAGCCAGCCTTGTCCCCTGGGCTCAGGAGGACAGACTGCACCTGTCTCTGGTCTTCCCCAGGCATTCCACACACACAGGAGTCTCAGCATCGTCCTCCGCTTCCTCTGGACTGTTTTCTCTACCCCCCTTCCTCCCTGCCTCTCTTCTTGCCCAACAGCCGGTCTGTTTGCCCCCACCCCGTAGCCCCTAACTGTGACCTCCCCGTCGTGCCCCTGGCCCCTGTTCCCTCTGTCCCCTCTTTTCCCTGCATTTCTTAGAGGAGCTTCAGAGGTTCTCATGCTACTGAGATTCACCTTCCTTAAGCTCAGGGTCTCTCCAGCACCCCCTGCCTCGGCCACACCTGTTCCCAAATGCCCTCTCTCGGGGCGGGGGCGGAGGTGGGCGTGCAGAGCAGCTTCCCTTCTCTGACACCAGTAACCCGTGCCCGCCTCCACGGCTGCCCCACCCCCTTCCCCGAGCCCCTGCCCAGCTCCCTGCCCACCTCTCCGTCCCCCCACGTGCTTAGTGCTGGGAGCTCATTCTGTTCTAGAACCGGTGCCCACTGTCCCAAACTCCCAGCCTCTGAGTCCAGCCTTCTGGGTGTCTGTCCGTCTTGGCCTGCAGGTCACATAAGCAGCGTTTGCCAACCCCCTCCCGCAAGAGACACGCACACCTGGATGTTCACGGAAGACTCATTCAACACTCCTGGGCCTAAACCGTCAGCCCCTTTGGGGTGCCTGGGAGGGGTCTTGCCCAAGCCCTTCCCAGGGGCTGCCTCTATCCCACACGTACCACCACTGGCTGACTGCCCCGGCCCTGCCCACCAGTAGCCAGCGGCAAGGACATAGCCTGTTCGGGGCGGGGGGCTGGGAGCAGGGAGTCCGCTGGTGTGGGGCAGTTCTCTGCACTGAGGTTGGGTCGTTGGACATGCGTCAACCCGGAGGCCTCTCCCCTTGTGAGACCTGGGGACGAAGAGAGGGAGGAGGCAGGGGTTGGGCGCAGGGGCTGCTCCCCCGACCCCTGACAGCAGGGCCCAACAGCCCACTCTTCCTGGCCCAGCGGCTCCCTCAGGTGTCCCCTGAGCACCTGGGTGACAGGCAGGTGCTCCTGCTGGGGCGATGACAGCGTGCCCTGCGGGCCTCGTAAAGCCCAGCATGGATGGCATCGTGCTGCCGCTATGGACTGAGCTTCAAAGAGGGCCAGTCAGGTGCCTGAGGACAGAACTGCCCCAGTGGCTGGTGGGATGCAGGACGCGGTCCGAGCGGGGGGTGGGGGCAGGGCCAGGCCTTAGGACTAACGGGCTCTCCTCCCACAGGACAGAGACAACTCTGGTGCCACAGTCCTGCACCTGGCTGCCCGCTTCGGCCACCCCGAGGTGGTGAACTGGCTGCTGCGTCACGGCGGTGGGGACCCCACCGTGGCCACAGACACAGGCGCCCTGCCTCTTCACTACGCCGCCGCCAAAGGAGACTTCCCCTCCCTGAGGCTCCTCGTCGGCCACCACCCTGAGTAAGGACCCTCCGCTTCAGGGGGCCTCTGGGTGGGGCGGGCCAGGGCTCTGGGGGGTGCCTGTAGTCGGCCCTGCCCCTCCAGCACGCCGGGGGAATTAGTGCTTCTGGGCCATCCCCGTGGCCAGGGGCCTGGCCAGAGACAACTCCCACCGAAGCTGAAAGTTCTCCCCTCCTGGTGGGCAGACACAGGCCCCAGAGCCCTGCAAGCAGACACTCCCCCGGTACGAGCTGCACTCGAGCCGCAGCGGCTGTGCACGCAGAGCCCTTGTGCGTCTCCAGGGTGCTTCCAGCCTGCAGCAGGCGGCTCTCCGGCTCTGACCTGTGCTAATCTGCAAGATTGTCCTAAGTGGGACGTAGGGGTGAAGAGCGTCTCCTCGACCCCCAGTCAAGAAGGAGGGGGAGCCACGTCAGTTACCCAGCAGTGATGGGAGACGCCCCCTGCCAGACCCCCACCCTGCCTCCTGGGCCCTCAGCCCCCGCCTGTCAGAGGGCAGCTTGTCCTCTCCTGTGGCCGGCCAGCTCATTCCCACTCGCCAGGGGGATGGGGCTCCCAAACCTCCCCGGCCCTCGCGAGGAGAGCGGCTGGTCTGAGAACTCAGCTGAGCAGTGGGCTGGGCACGCCCCAGGGTGGGGTGGGGTGTGCAGAAGAATGGGGTTCACTGAAGAGCACGGGAGTCGTGGGGACGGGGTCCTGGGGGAGGGAGGGAGCCAGGTGCACCCAGAGGGAGGCAGGGGTCCTGGGGGAAAGCCACCCAGACCCTGTCTGAGGGAGTGGGACATCAGTGGCCCTGGGGACCCAACAGACCAGGGCTCTGCCTGGTGACCTTCGTCAGTTCAAGGGGGTACCTGGGAAATAAGTGGTGACAGAGGACCCAGCCTCAGGAGGAGAGTAGTCACAAGGCGGGAGGATCTGTCCTTACCCCTGGCTGCACTCCTAAGGGTGCCTGCCCGGCCTCTGGGCACCAGGGAGCAGCAGGAGGCCAGCCTGGCCCCGTGGCCTGCTGGCAGGGTGGCTGCGTCTGGCAGCGCCTTGGGTGCAGGCATGCCGGTGTGGATACGGAGCAGCTCAAAGCCCCCGGGCCGGGACCAGGACGGCTGAGCCTGGCTCCTTCTTGCTAAGCAAGGGGTTCCCTGGTTTGATTCGTGCGAGACCAGCCGGGGGTCTCCTCACAGCCATCCCTGCCAGAGGCCACTGGGCACCACTCTGGCGTGAACCCTCTGCTCCTGGACGAGCTAAGGTCTGGGTCACACCCAAATCAGTGGGATTTCAAGGAGGAGGCCCCAAACACCCTCGAGTGCAGGCTCCCAACCTGCAGCCATCAGCACCCTGGGGGTCTGGTCTCAGACTTGACATAGGCTCCCCAGGTAGGGGCTGGGGCGCTGCCCCTGTGCATGTCCCCACCCCCCACCCAGGTGGTTCTGACACCACCCCCTCACTTATCACTTATCACGGAGGACACTGGGGCCCTAAGAGGAGAGAGGCGGGCGGTGGTCATCCTCTCGCACCCGCCGGCCTCCCCCATCACACATGATGGGCCCAGGAAGTCAGGCTGGTGGCCATGCCAACTTAGCTCCAATGGTGTGAACTGAGGGGGCTCTTGCCCGCCCCGGGAAGTGCTGGTGGGGGGCAGGGGTGAAGCCCCAGCCTGGCCCCTGAGCCCCTCCTCCCTGAGAAGTCTGGGGCCTACGATGAGCCTCCATGGGCTGGGGTTCCAGCCTTGGGAAGCCTCTGGCTGTGCTGGGGACACCCTCGAAGGCTCAGGGCCTGGGGGACCCTGGTGCTCCCAGGCCAGGCTGTGGTGCTGGCCGTGATTGGGCCCTGGCACCAGCTCTGTGGCCACCAGCCCCCCATGAATCTCAGGGAAGCGGACAGAGGTCTGGGGCTCCATTCCCACAGTGACGACGCGTGACCTGGCTGATAAGGAGGCACTTTTGTGTGATTGCCAGGCTGGGCTCAGGCAGGAGGGGGTGCTGGGCATTGAGGTAGGGCCTGCTGGCGGGGGGTTTTGGGGGCCAGTGCCCACACCCTAACTCGGAAGTAGAGACTCATGCCCTCCAAGGCGGGGGACCCCAGGGCTGGGAGCTGGGGAGGGGCACAGGTGCAGGCTGCCCCAGGCCACAGGGTGCAGTCAGGGGACCCAGGCAGCTAGCGTTAGAGGCCTCCGTTGCCCTGCTCTCCTGAGCCTCCCTGGCCTGCTGTGAAACACTGTGAATTATTCACAAGGGCTCAGCTCTCCCTGGCGGCAGGTGATGGAGGGAGAGCTCCTACCGGTGGGAAACCCGATCCTGCCCGGGAGGCTGTGGGCAGCCATGAGCCACGGCCATGACAAGCTACAGAGGCGCAGGAGGGCTGGGCGGCCTCGGGGGAGGGCCCAGCTAATGCTGGGCGGCACCTTGGGGAATTAGAAAGGACCGCAGGAACGGCCTGTACCCACTCACCCCTCCTCCAGTCTCTCCCAGTCCACTGGGCAAGTCTTCCCAGAGGCAGAGGAATTGCCACCATGACCTCAGGGGCTGCTGCCCCATGGGACCCTCCCTCTGAGCCCCCTGGGGAAAAGAGTCCTTCAGCTAGAAACACGGGGCTGGCAGGAGCTGGGCTGGGGCTGTTTCAGGCCCTGGGTCTGAGGGAGGTAGAGTCAGGAGGGTCAGCCCTCCTGGCCAGGGGCACTAGTGGCTGGTGGAGCAGAGCCACGAGTCCACGTCCCCATTTGGGGCTCAGAAGGGACAGGAGCAGGTAGCCCTCAGAGCTCCTGACCATCCTGCCAGCAGGGTCCTGGGGCCCAGGAACCATCTCACGCCTCGACCATGTGCTTGCTGGGGGCCTCAGTAAGCAGAGGGGAGCCCTGGGCTCAGCTGGGACCCTTAGGCCTGAGCACTGAGGCTGGGGAGGGCTAGGGGCAGGGCCCACCATGGTCTACCAGTCATAGAGAGCTGGAAAACCAGTCTGCGCAAAGGTTTCGGACCAGCTCCCACCTGCTGAATGCCTCCTAGGGGTCTGACACCAAGCAGTAGTCTGAGCCTCACCTGCTACTAGGCAGTAGCTCTGTAATCAGCCCATTTTACAGATTGACTCATCTAACTAATGTTTCTTGAGCACCTGCTCTGGGCCAGGCAATATTCCAAGTGTCAGGGATACATCGGTGAACCAAACAGACAAATGTCCCTGCCTCACGGTGCTGCAGATACAGAAATGGTGTCTCCGAGAGGCTAACTGACCACCCGGGGTCCCACCAGCTCCCTGTGTGGCCTTGGCCAAACTGCACCTCCTCTCTGGGTCTGTCTCCCATTTCTGGGCCAGGCGCTCACCTCTGAGGGCCTTTTCAAGTTCACCTGGGTGGCCCCCTTTTCCTTCCTTACTGCCAAGCTTCATGGAGCCTGGCTCCTCCTGGGGCCCCGTCCAGCTGGAAGGGTTCAGGCAGCCCCTGCCTTGAACAGGAAACCTTAGCTGCTCACCTATTAGGGAGCCCCAGGCCTATGGCTCAGCTCCCCCTTAGAAGGCCTGGGCCTGGGGCTGCCCTTCCCTGCCGGGCACTTGTTGGTGTTCTGGGCAGCAGGGCCTGGGGGGAGCCACACTGGCACACTGGGGACCCTAACCCAGGTGGAGGCTCTGAGAAAGGAGGGGCCTGGTGGAGTCATGAGAAGCCCCTCTCAGTGGGGACAGCCTTCACCTCCACCGGTAACTCCTGGTCCAAGCCTGTCATGTCACTGGGGCCCCAGCTGGCCTCTCTGCCCTCCCCCTGCCCGCTTCCTGTCTGGCTGTGCCCACCTTGGAGACCACAAGTCAGATCCCCAGACCGGCCACAGGCTTCTCTCTCACGGACAGGGAAAGCTGCTTCCTCACAGCAGCCCAGAGGCCCTCCTCACTCTGGCACCCCCGTACCTGACCTCCACCTCCTCTATGCTACCTCCTGGGCTTCCTGTTGCTCCTGCCCTCCGACCTTTGGCCTTTGTACAGGCCATTCCCACTGCCTCACTCTCTTCCCCAGAGAGCCCACAGCTGCTCCCTCCTCCCCTTCAAGGCTTTGCTCTGTCTCCGCTTCTCAGTAAGGCCGGCCCCAGGCCTCCTTCAGATCAGCACCTGCCCCGAGAAGACACACGCCCTCCCTCCCAGGCTTCCTCTCCCGCCTCCTCTCCCCCATACCCACCCTCCTCGTTACCTGGCATTACTTTCTGTGCATCTCAGCACATCCTCTTACCGTCTGTTTCCCCGGGCCATGAGAACATCTCTTCTTCTTCCACATCCTGTATGCCCAGCGCCTGATACTCAGTAAATACTCACTGAAGGACTGAGGAGTCTGGGATCCCTGGGTCTTGTCCGGCCCTGCAAGCAGCTCACTGCCCATGACCTCAGACAGAACTCCCTTCTGGGCGTCCCAGGGCCCGCCTGGCAAACAGACCAGCTGAGGCTACGTGCGAGGAGGCATCACAGAGCTCCGGGCCTGGCTGCCCGTCTCGCTCACTCCCACATTTATCCAGTCAACGATTAGCATCCACAGGTACCCTAAGTGCCCAGCCCCGCTAGCGTTAGGGATGTAGTGAGTCCTCACGACTTCATGGAGACAGCTTGGGGGGCTCCCAGGGGCAAAGAAGGAGCCAGGTCAAGGGCACGTGTGCACGCAGAGACGTTCTTGCTTATTTTCCAGTGTGTCGGGGTGTGTCCGGCAGCCCCGGTGGAACCAAGCTTGAGTGGGCAGGTCTCCACTGTTTTCGAGCTCTGCCCCGCCCTGGCGTGTGGCAGCCTCGTGATGTGTGTCCCTGGAATGCATAAAAAAAGTGCCAAGGCAATTCAAAGGGGACAAGTGCTATGAAGTGAAACGGGGTATTCGTAGGAAGTGGTTGGGGGGTTTCTTTAAATTGAGGGGGTCCAGGAAGGCCCCACTGAGGAGGTGAGAGCTGAATGGGAGCGGACCAGCCATGCCAAGACCTGGCCTGGGAGCGTTGCAGGTGGAACTGGCCGGGGCAGAGGCCTGAGGGGGGGTCCCGCTTGGCCTCATCGCG